GGTCAGAAGCCCATTTTGTTAGGAAACGTACAAATAATCCCACACTGCCCCTAGCAGGAGATTTTCCAGCTCTTCAGGAGAGTGCAGAGAGTAATTATCAGGCCAAAAAACTATTTCTGCTCTATAAAAAGGACCACACAGTAAGTATATTCCTTGGTTGAACACAAAATAAGAAACTACTGACTCCTTTTTTTTTTTTTTTTTTTTTTTTTTTTTTTAATTTATGAAGAAGGTTCCTCCCTGTTACCTCAAAAAATGCTTGTGAAGATGAAGGGTTGATCTTAATTCCTCAGTATGAATATGCACTGTCCTTCTGGCTCTGAGGAGAGCTCACTTGGGAAGATTCACAGAGAAAGTACATGTCTTTGGTAATTACTTCTGTGGATAAGAAAGAATGTAATAAAAGCAGGCCGTTAGTGGACTTCAGTAGTGTTCACAGTCAAAGTACAGGAGCCTTGTATCAGCCAGAGGTTGGGAGGGCTAAAGCAATTTCACTAGCTGTGTGATCTTTCTATGATTGGAGTGAGTTTTATGGGTGGGAGCTTGGTTCTGAGAACACAGCCTCCCTTGTAGAGTTTTCATGTACACAAGTGTACACAAAAGTTTGATGTCCCTCCAAGCGCAAGGACAGTGAAAGCCTTTAATATGAACCCTCTGATTCAAACATGTACCTTAGGACATGACAAAGGAACAACCATATTCTGGAAGAAATCAGTTCTCTTCAGTGTTTCTGAAGGGTGCGGAGGAGCTGTGGGGGGTTAGCTGAAAGAGGAAACAATACAATAAAGATTTTAGTTCTTAAAATAACTAAGGCTAAGATATTTGATACCAACCCTGACAACTTATGTCTGACTTGCTGTCCTTTGAGACAGACAGCCACAGCACTAGATTTTAAATTCCATCAAGAAATTCAAAGCTGTCGAGAGTCCTTAAGCCATAGTGAAATACTCATGTGGTCTATATATAACTTTGTGCTCAAGCCTGTGTGTATAATTATTGCATGCACAATTACCTGTATTTATTGGTGTTTGAGTTTTCCAAGACAAATTCAGTCTCTTGCTTACGAAATTCCTTCTTCTCAGAGACTGCATACCCATTGCTTTTCACATAATAGAGGCAATTTATTTCCCTGTTGCATCACTTTGAAAATATGGCTGTTTCTGGAATGCTATTGAGCCACATGGTTTAGGTATCTGTGCAAGAGTGAGTCTGTGAAGTTGGAGAAAATAAGAGTTCAAGTGTCATTTCCCCAAATAGCTGTATTGTGCAAGTTCCCCTAGTTCTTCCTCTATACAAGTGTTATAATCAGACAAAGCCAATTTTTATAAAAATATATTTTTTATTTGGGTTCAATCGATTTAGGGTGGGAAGCAATAGGCAAAGCAGCGCTGGGTGCATGGAGAGCCGCAGCTCTGCCACACGCACCCTGAGTTCCAAAAAGCAGCGTTTTTTATACTCTTGTGCCATCGTCTTTAACCAATCTTCTCCCGTCAGAGAGTTGTCCTGCTCTTTTCCATTGGGTCATTTGAGTTGCTGGGGTGCATGTCCTCCTCCTATTGGGTCTTTTGAAAGTCTCGAAGCCTTGGTCTCTTGGCGAGCTTTTCTCCTATTGGATCTTTTAAAAGTCTCATGATCTCATCCTTTTGGCGGGCTGTTCTTCAGACAGCAGTTACATGTCAGCTCAGTGGGGTTTCTAAGACATGGTTACATTGTTCCAATCTGAATGGCACACTTTACATTTAACTTTTACAGATCATTCAAGTGTACCTACCCACCTTGCCCAGCCTAGCAAATTAGTTACAATAGTTTATTATAGCACCCGCCTTGCTTAACTTAGCAAATGAGTTACCATAGTTTATTACCGTCTCCCCCCCCCTTTTTTTTTTTTTTAATATATACCCTAATTTGCTAGTTAAGCTTAAAAATGGCTTCTCTAGCAGCCCCTAAAAAGGTGGTATCTTCTAATTCAGTCTCTAGTCGGTATTGTTCTTGTTGGGTTAAATCAGTATATTGTTGCCTTAACATCTTGAGTTGGACAGTTTCAATCCTGTTCTTAACAAGGTTAATTAATTTGTTAAAGATACAAAGTCCAAAAGTGAGAATTAATAACGAAGTAATCAAGGATCCAATTAAGGTCGTTTTTATCTCCTAAACGACTGAAAACTTCATTCGAAATTATCATTTATCCATATATTGCAATACCAGGATCCCATATCTTTTCTCCATACACAGGTTCAATTATAAAAGCTGTTTCTGTATAATTTAGCATATTCAGGTTTTTTTGTTTGGGTGTTGGTGTTTGGTTTTTGTTTTTTTTTTTTGTTTGTTTGTTTGTTTGTTTGGTTTTTTTTGTTTGTTTTGTTTTGTTTTTTTTTTTTCTTTTTTTAGTCTGACCTAAATCCCTTAAATCCTTTGCTATAACCATATATAAATATCTCTTTGTTGATCAATTTTTGTGTAAGTGTCCACTGGCATTTACTCTCCCCTACATCAATTCCTCCTTTCTGAGTTCGGTTCACACAAAATCTGCCCTGATTTGGAAACTGGATTGGCCATATTCCGTTTTCTTCCCAGGTAGTATTGTTACTATCACTGTAATTACTCACAATCTGCGATGGAGTAAGGGGTACAGAGACCCACGGCCAGCTGAAAAGTCCTACAGGTCCTCCACAGACCCAACAGTGGCTTAGATTGAAAGTTCTGCTTATTGTCTTGGCTAATAAAACAAATTTATTATCTTCAAGGGGACCATATGGAGTACTTCGACTTTCTGTATTCATTACAGGGCTGATACATAGAATTAGGAGAAAAAGGAAACCACTATAGTGAGGTCCGGTATGGCACATTTTTCTGTTTGTCCCTAGACCCATTGGGTTGCTGCCAACGGTCGGGTGTTTATCTTCATAACAGCAAAAATGGAGGCCAACCCAGTCTTGCCCTCACTTTGAATGTATTTTTAGTCTTCTTCTCCTTTTTGTTACTCTTATTCAACTTCTTATTCAACTATATACAACGGCTTATACACTTATTTATAAAGCAGGCACCACAATTTATTTTAACAAACATTCAGGATTTTACAAAACCTCATAACAAATACCTTAAATTTTCTTGTTACCAATATAGAGTCCTTCCAATTATTCAGTTAGTCTTAATGAGTCCATCCCTCTGTTGATTCCGCTGCATTTGAAGCTTTAATTCTCCTGGTGTTGATTCAATCTTCCACTGAGGCTTTTCTGTAACAGGTCCTTTTACCCTGGAAACTTGAGTCCACCCTCTCTCAGCAGTTCTTACAGCAGTTTTTGTGGTTAATAGTACTAGGAATGGTCCTTCTTATCTATGAGATAAGCTTTCCTCCTTCCAGGTTTTAATCATTACTTCACCTCCAGGTTGTATTTTGTGTACTGCAAATCCTAAAGGAGTTGTGTGGGCTAATATGATCCGAATTAAATGCTTTTATAATTCCAAATCGTGGTATAATTTGTTCCAGTACTATTTTAGTTACTGATTGAGCAGTCGCTCTGGTGGTAGGAAAGGCTTCTAATCAGTGAGTTAATTGATCTATCATTACCAGCAAATATTTATATCGCCCAACTTTTGGTGGTTCTGTGAAATCTATCTGGAACCTCTCAAAAGGTTGATAAGCTGTTTTCCTTCCACCAGCTGCAGTCTGTCTCATAGTTCTTTTATTAATCTTTTAACATGTTAAACAACCGTATGTAGTTTGTTTTGCAATTTCATATATTCCAGTGCAGCCAAAATATCCCAAGAAATGATCACTCAAAGCCCTAGTGTCCCAAAGACTTAATTTTCTACAATTTGTAATTTAGATTTTTTTTTTTTTTTTACAAAGTTCAGCAGTTCTATAGTCCCCATCCTGACATCATTCTCAGTTTGTCCAGCTATTAATAAATCATATACATATTGTAAAAGCTTTATTTCTGAGGATGGCTTGAATGTCTGCAGTAACTTTTTTTTTTTTTTTCTTTTTTTTTTTTTTTTTTA